GGTATTCCTGCTCTGCTGTTTTTTCTAGCACCCACATACAGCTCAGGCTGTCCAGCCTCATTTGCAGAATTATCGTCCTGCAGAAGTACACGGTGTGTTTCCGGGAGGAGGCCAGGCTGGTGAGTGCTCTGATGAGTGGAAGCAACTCGTTCCTTGATCTTGCCTTGCTCCCTGCATGCTCACTTGCCTTGAGCTGCTCCCAGGACCTGGATGAAGATGAGGGGTGGCCGTTCTCTCTTCTTCCATGTGCAGCTCCTTGGAGGGTCTGTGGCAGTGACGATGGGGACTGAGGCGGGGGATGACGTGAGCCCTCCATGTAGATGTGGTGTATCCTCCCCAGGGCCTCCTGGCTGTTCCCTCCTGCGGTCGTGCAGCTGCAGGAAGCCTGCATGGACCACTGCTGGCCGAGCTGCCTGCAGGGGTTCAGGAGTGTCCCTGTTCAGGCCCAGCCTGTGGCTCTTCAAGAGCCATAGGTTGACACAGAAGGGTAAAAACACCCCATTGAAGGGGGTTGTCATTTAGGTGGGGGGCTTGCTTTGGTTGAAGAGTTGGTGGCAGAGCTGGTGTGGGTGCATGGGTGCTCGCTGGACCTAGGGAAGATGGGAATGGGGGTGGGACTGCTCGCCTCTGCCTTACGGACTCTGTTTTCCCCACAGGAAGACTGCGAGTTTTACCTCACGGTGCAGCGGTTCATCGTGCTGCCCATGGAGAGGCAGAGTTTGGACTCATCCAATGGGTATGGCCCATGGGGAAAGTGGGGGGGCTCTGCTCAAGGGGGCTTCCTCATCTTCTCAGAGTGGGAGTCTTGGTGTGATCTGGTTGTGGTGGGGACTTTTTGCTCCTTGTAAGAGGAATTATCTCTGTTGCAAGCTGTGAAGGAAGGTGGGGATGGAGAGGGAATTGGTAACTGGCTTCTCCCCTGCTGCAGGAACCAGGAGCCCTCTGTGCTGCAGAAGATCAAGGAGCTCTGGCTGTAAGTACAGGGCTGGCCATTGCTGGGGGAACTACCCAGGCACTGTGACAAGAGGGGGCAGGCTCTGAGCGGGGTCAGAACAGGCTGGCAAGGGCAGGCACACGTTACGGCAGCTCCTGGTTAATCTGTGGGTTGCCCTGCTCCAAGTCATGACAGAGCTGAGTAGAGCATGCAAAGTGAGATCCTGGTGATGCAGAGGGCTCAGCCCAGCCTCTTCCTCTGAGCTGGCAGGAAACACCCATAGGGAGCTTTGCTCCTTCCAGCCATGGGCAGTGTGCCCAGGGGGGTGAGCCCTGCACAGCTCATTTCTAACTCCGCGCTTGGAGACCCAACTCTGGAGGTCTTCAGAGGTCTCCATCATTGCATCTCCAGGATGGGTATTCATGGGATACTGAGCGGTGGCTGGATCTGGCACCCAGTGGGGAATCCACTCCTTCCACAAGCTGCTGCTTCCCAAGCCTGGGTACTTGGTCTGCGACCAGGAACTGTCAGAGGCTGCTGAGCTGTGTGCGCTCCAGCCCTGACCTGGCTTTGTCTTCTCCTTGGTCATTGCAGGAAGAGTCTCGCTGTGAAGAATGCTCCCAGCTCAGGTAAAGGGATGTGGGGGGCATGTGATGCTCTGGTGGGGCTCCTGGTTCTCATCAACTTGGTCTGTGTTAGGCAGAGATAACACAAACCTGTCCAGATCTCACAAGGCAATGTCACTAAGCCCAAAGCAAGGCAAGATGGTGCTGACACCTAAAGCAGCATGGGCCATTGCATGCCCATGCTCATGCTGGTGCTTCAGGACCTGTGTGGAGAGAGGAAAGATAGTTCCTAGAAGTAAAGGAAATGCAGGATTTTGTGTTTCCACAAGTTTTACTGCACATGATGATTATGCAGCAGAGTAAAAGCATTTGCAAGTGAGGCGTGCCTGTATTAAGGCATCTTCTCCACTGACGCTCGTGTTCTCGCTCCAGAGCCATCCATCTCTCAGCTGATCGATGCCATAGGACAGAACCAGCTGGAGATTTTGAAGGAAAATGCTGAGGAATGCTTGGATTTACGGCTGCCTGAGCAGACCCCAGCAATGGTAAAGGACGATGTTCCCGTCACCCTGTGGGAGGCAGAGCGCAAGAAAGAGGTTGGTCTGAGAGAGCTTGTGGTGGGGCTCCTGCTCCGGAGGGGGTGGGAGAAGGAAGGGGTCGGGCAGTGGGCAGAGCTGGAGGTTTGCTGGGGCGAGAGATGGCGTTCAGCTACAGATGGGCTCCTGCAGGTAGAGTGCGACTGCCCAGTGAAAACCACGTAACGTGTCTCATTTCAGCAGGGTGAGCAGATCTTCACAGTCCCGACAAACACTCTGCTGATCCTTTTTGAGGAGGAGACAGTTACTTGTGATGCTTCCAAGGCAGGTCAGTGTGGGGTAGGAAGGTGGGTAATTCAACATCCAGGCATGCAAAATAAAGGGCTCCCTGGGGTAGGGAGAAGATTTCCTTCACTCCGGCTGTGCAGCATGCTAGGATGCCATCAGCCGTGCCCCTTTTATTGCAGGCACAAGCAAAGCACCTCCTGAGAAGATCAGCAAAGAGACAACGGTGCCAGGCAACCTGAGTGTTGTGTCCCAAGCCAGCCGTGAGTAGTGGGACCTCCAGATCCCATCCAGCCTCTTGGTAGTTCCCTCTGGGGCAGACTCAGCCCATCTTCTCCTTGGATTAAGCAGAGGAGGTACCAACATGCCTGCATTTTTGGGAGATCAGGACTTGAGCGGGCAGGGAGTGGTCCCAAGTCCTGCAGCCTCCTGAAGCTGAGCAGCTTCAATTCATTGTGCTGGGAGCACAACAAATTATTTTGTCCCTTTGATGCCATCATGGGGCCAGAGTCACCCGCATTTTGGGGTCTTCCTCCTGCCTGCCTGCTCTCTGGGCAGCATCTGCCTTTCCACTGCCCGCCCCAGGGGCTGGCTGAGGTGGATGGAGTCTGACTGGAGTACACCCCAGTTTTGGCTGAAGAGGGTTCTCAGAGCTCTCCTTGAGTGCTGTCTCTGAGAGCCCGTGCACAGTTCCTTGTAGCCGCTGCAGGGTTGGGAGCAGCCGCTTATCTTTGCCAAAATTAATGCCCCAACTTGGTCATTGCAGTCGCAGAGTCAGCGGACTGGTCGGACAGCTCGGAGGACTACCTGGACAACCCCTGGGACACGCTGCCACCAGTATCTTTGACCCTGAACTCTTCGGATGGTGAGTCCCCATGCCCCAGGCTGTCCAGCCTGCTTCGCCAGCAGGAGACAACCCCCACTCCTCTCACTGGGGGACCATATAATTCATCCTTGATGCTGGCTTGCTTTCCCCTGGCGAAAAAAACAGTGCTGAGGTGTTCCCGTTGCCCTGTGCCTGCATCGTTCCAGCTCAGATGCTCTCCTGCCCAACCCAATGCGCTGAGGCAGATCCCACCCCCTGCCCAAGCCGACCATGCCTTTTCTCTTACCAGAGCAGACCTTTCAACATGACCTTTCACCAAAGACCCAGCAAGACGTGGCTGCCGACAGCAACACCCCTGACCTGCTGGAACCATGCGGCCAGGACTGTGCTGGGGGCTTGCCGCAGGGAGAGCTGGTGCAGGCCTCTCCCTCCCTGCTCTGCTCCTACAGCCATACCGGTCTGGTGGAGACCGACACTGTGGAGGCAACGTCTGCTGCGGAGGCAGTCGGCGATGCCCCCTGCCTTGCGCAAAACCCACAGGTATCGGGGGGCTCTCAGGCCCCCCAGCCGTCTCTTCCGACTTCTCCCATCTCGCCCAGCAGCCGCTCGCAATCCCTGCCTGAAGAGATGCCACAGAGGGAGCAGGCAGACTCCAGTGGCACAGCTCTCTCTCCAGATACGTTGGAGCATGGTCCGGCTTGTGCCAGCACCCAGGGAGGAGATGCTGTGAGTGCCAAGAGGAAGCTGCTGGCAGAAGACAGCGAGGCGCTGCCGGCCCTTGGGACACAGCAG